TTCACTTAACAACAATGATACTAATTTAACAACTGCAGTGATTCATTTAACAAATATGGCACTTAGTAGTAAAAATGGGACAAACTCACTTAACAAATGTTTCACTTAGCAACATAAATTTTGAGCTCAATTATGGTTGTAACTCAAGCAGTGGTGGGTTCCTCCCGATTTGGCCTGGTTCTGTGGAGCCGGTAGCGGGGACAATATGACGTCACTGAAACGGTTCTGCCCCCCCCCGCGTTATTCTTACCTTTTATTTACCCCCACCCCAATCTATTGCTGCCTCCTGAGTCCCAGCTGATCGGCTAGAAGGAAAAAAACTGTTTAAATCTTGCCGCAGGGCTTCAAAGGGCCGCCCTACAGCTGATCAGTGTTAAAAAGCAGTGTGGTGGTAGACTGGTGCCTCCAAAAACAAATAAGTAGACCGGTGCCTGCAAAAATAAATGGGTAGACCGGTGCCTCCGAAAACAAATGAGTAGACCGGTGCCTCCAAAAACAAATGAGCAGACCGGTACAGCTCTGCAAGCACTTAATAGCCTGGTAGACCAGTACCTCTGCTAAATCCTAAAGAATTGTCACATGACCATCAAGCCACACCCACAAAATAAGCCATGCCCACAGAACCGGTAGTAAAAAAATTTAGAACCCACCCCTAAACTCAAGGACTACTTGTAGATGGATGGATAGAAATAGAAATAGACATAGACAAAATAGAAATAGAAATAGATGTGTGTGAGAGAGTAAATGATAGGAATGCTTATATTCTGCCTTTTGAAATTCCAATGGTTACATACCTACCTCATCTCAAATTTGCATCCATTTAAATACAGCTTTTAACTTGTTCATTTTCTGAATCATATTTCACAGCAATTTATAAATGAAGCCCAAAAATACTCCAGGTTGACTAATAAAAGTTTTCAAATTGAGTCAAGCTGCAGGAGGTCATAGGCCTGGTCATCTGAGGGACATATATTTTCTATGTCTACTGCATGATCCAGAAGAGTTGGCACATATCAGGTTCTAAATAGTGCCATTTGATGGGACTCAGGAAGTAGGCCACCTTTGACAAAGTATGTGCTCTCTGGAAAATCTCCCAGAGACTTATATGGCAATCACACTGCCTTATTTAGGCCAATTTTAAAAACCTGACTCTGTTCCTTGGATTAGACTGGATGATGGAGCAGAACAGTATGGATAACCAGTTTGTTGGAAATACTTTTCTGCATAACTGCATTTTTATTTTGCTTTGATACTCATTTTATTTGTATTATATTGTCATGAAATTATATTGTGTACTGTCCAGTTATAATGGAGTTGGGAAGCTTATAAATCCAATATACAAACAAAGAAAGTCCTACATTTCAGTGGGTCTGTGCTAAGACTGATTAAATCCGCATCTGATTTTCTCAATCTAAACTATTTTTGTTGTTAATATTCCTAAAGGGAAGAACAAGAGGCTTTCATAATCAGGTTCATAAAATATTTGCTTTTTAACCATCTTTAACATGAGCATGAACACAATGACATTTTTAGATGACAGGGAGAAGGTAACTTTTTCTGCACATTCTTGGACAAATACAGTACAAATACAAAAGCTTTAGTTAGCTGTTTCAACTGATCAGGAAGTTATGCGACAATGGTGCAAAAAGTATGCTCTGCATAAATCTCCATGTGCTAATGTTGAATTTCTATCCCTTCAATGGAAGAAAAAATGCAGATTAGAGGACACTATCTGTTTGAATAGCTTTTCCTTCCATTGTTATCCTGTTAAGTCCTGCTGAGACACGAATAGGCAACTGCATGAATGAAAATTCAATAGCATGCTTTTCTATGTAAAAATCAGCAGATCTGGAACACTTTTTTTTTAACTTTATAAAATGTGAAAATTACTGAGCCTGAAATCATATTTTTCCATTATTTAGTAACTCTACTTTTTCCTTTGAATATATTCTATCAAATATTCAGACACAACTGAAGTTTAATGAAATTACCCAGTGTCTTCCAAAGTATAATAAGGAACCAAGAAATATACTGTAGATTTAAACCCAGGAATCTGTCAAAAGGATTTTAGAACTTCAGTGTTCTAATTCCATGTAGTTCTAAATTGACTTTTCTCCTCATTAGAGAAATTTGGCATACAAAACTGTCCTACATTCTATACCTGATCATTTCCATAATAGATAATGTAGTTATCAGCAGAGTCATATTACTTCACCTGGAACATTTTCAACCATTTATCACAATGTTGATCTGTATTTTAAACATAAAATCAGGCAATCATTTATGTCTCCCATGTTCTTTGTATTTATTCAAGGATATTTAACAGGAGACAAAAGGTGACTTATTCATTATTCATCCTGAACAAGGCAAGTATGGCAATTTGAAAAGCCTGACATTTGAGCTTTTTGCCAACACTAGCAAAATTATATCCTTCCCATTGTAAATCAATGAAGTAGAATCATTGTGCACAAAAGAATTAAATTGCCTTGTCACTTTAATAAGGCCACCTTATATACACCCTTCAGCCAGTGCCTTTGTGCAGAGAAAGGGTCCATCCTTTGCCCCAGCTGCCTTAGATCTCAGTAGGCATTCCAATTAAATGAACATCCTCTTAGTCTTTTGCTGTACTCAACCCCTCGCCAAAGAGAAGGAATGAAGTCAGAATGTCACTAACTCAAAACTTTGTATCAATGGAATGTACCCATCAGTAGGAATCAGTAATTCTCCCCATAATTTCTCTAAGTCCGGGGGAAGGAGGAGATAGTTTTTTAATTGATTTAGCCATTATCACAATGAGAGAAGCACTCAGGAAATAATGTTGGATGTTTTGCTCTTTGAGATAAAAATATTACATTGAACAGGCATTATAAATCTGAAATGTGTAACTAAAACATTTCATCCAATGAAGAATATGAGAGGCATGGAAACCAGTGTATAACCAGAAATCAATGTCTGAATTAATTCAAGCTGCACTGACTTTTCTTGATTTATTTATTTATTTTTGGCTAACCGATTTTTTTCAGTATAATGAGAATCTTTTTAGCCATTTCAGATGCCTAATCAGTTGCCATAGAATGCTTCTAATTCATATTGGCATTAATGGAACAGAAGAGCAGGTTCAAATAGGTAAGAAAAAGAATTTTTTTGGGGGGGGGGATGCATTTAATATATTCAATAAGTATGACCTGGAAGAAAAATTTCATCTTCAATCTGCCAACCATTGCACTTGTGAAACTCTGAGAAAGATACATTCTTGCATTGTTTTAATAACTTCTTGAATAACATATGTTGGAACGGTAAAAGAGATGGAAAGGAATAAAACCAAATGATGGGCCAAGGAGCAAGAATAGTTTGAGTTCAACTAACATTTCAAGATTTAGTCAGAAAATGTTGATGCCAAATGACCTTTTTCTGAAGGACGATTTCAGAAGACCAAGCAAAAGGATTGTTTCTATAATATGGTTACCATAGAGATTGGCCCTTTTTAAAAGACGGGGCGGCAGGGGGAGAATTGATGTGCATTTGCAATCAGCTAGTGCCTGTAACAACAAATGGGCTTGATAAAGCAACACTCCAAATTTAACTCTAAACAAGAAAAAAGTGTGGTTGAGATTCAGGGAAGAAAAGGAACTATTCAAAAAGATGGACAATGAGGCATTTGATAACATTGATGATGAACTGGGAAGTATTGTACTTGAAAAGAATGTCCTTGCACATAATAGTGGCCCTAGCAATGATTTTATTATATATACTATAATAATTAAATTCCCTAACAATATTTGACAAGAAATACCATCTGGGTGTTGTGACTCCGACCCCCGAGCCCATCTTATCGGAGGGAGAAGACTCCGAAAGTGAAGGAGAGGAGTTGGCAAGGCCTCCCTCTCCAGGACCCTCCTCTCTGGCAATGCCTCAGGTGCCTTCCGAAGGAGAAGATAGGCCAGGAGCCAGGCACTTCTGAGCAGCCGCAGTTAGACAGCGACGGAGATAAGTCTTGGCTGGATCCTCGACAGCGTCGGAAAGACAAGCGCGCGCAGCAGAGAAGGAGGCGTGCCAGAGATTAAGCTGAGTCACTGGACCACACCTCACAGGGGATAAAAGGGGGTGTGGTGGCCATTCAGGCTTTGTGACGGACAAAACTGAAAGCTAGCAAGTCATTCTGCATTTCTGAAACTTTGTTATATGCTCTGCTTGGATTGATTCTTGGACTGGCCTTGACTATTCTTTGGCTTTTGTGGACTTATTTTGATGTTTTCGGAGAAGATAAACCTCCCTTTGTAAGTAAAAACTTTTGGCAAGCAGCCACTGGGTTGCTGCCAATTCTATTATCAAAGGAAATTCTTGTCTGCTGGTTTATTTTAACTCTTGGTCGACTGCTGGTGTGCGTGTGTGAGACGGGGATAGAACACTGGGAGACACTGACAACATAGGATAATGATTTTGGTATTTCCCTATGGAGTTAAAATGCAACAAAAGGTGGAATGTGTTTGGAGAAGGAACTATGCCGATAATGTTGACCAATCATGTATGCATAAAATTTTGTAAGATTTCACAAACCTACCAAAGTGGGAACAGGTTGTTGTTGGGGGTTTTTTTTTGGTTTTTGTTTTGCTCATATTTTATCTTATCTTTGATCTTGCTTTAAAAATTGGATAAAATTGTGTATATTGTATATTTCTAGTATATTTGTATATACCTTTGTATTCTTTTCTGGAGAAAGATTCATCTGTCAAGAATAAAATGGATGCCCTGTGAAAGATTATGCCATGTTCCTACACTCAGGCAGACTTATGCATTACCTGTTCATCCTTCAGATAATTCTTTTCTTTCATGGACTTATAGTTTGGATGCATACAGCAAAACGATGAAGCATTGTAAAGAAGTTCCATAATTTCCAACAAGAAGGGAGAGAGTATTATCCCACTGACAATGGTCCCTTCTCCCAAAACGAAATAATCAGTGTAGGGAGGAATCTAAAGCAATAGCACTGCAAAAGGATATCTCGCTCTCTATTTAATCATATCAAATGAGGCATAGAACAATTGTGGCTGGATAACTAGGACATTTGGGGGGAAGATATATCAAGTGAATCTCCCTTCCACAATGGACACAGTAGATTATTTTAATAACTAGTAACCAATCAAGTATAACTAATTAAAATCTAAATTCTTTTTTTTTTTTTTTGCAATTCTGCAGTTTCAGTGAAAACTAAATGAATAAAATGCATGCTTAACAGTTAATAAAATCCATATAGAAACATGGTAGTAGTTCTTCTTACATCTTCAGTACCATCTTTCTTCCAATGTTCTGAAATATATCTGCAGAAACAACATAGCAAGAATGTTAGGAAGCACTGCACTTCAGCTCAGATCTTATACTGTATATGTGGCCTTATGGGTCAGTTATTTAATGACCACATTGATTTATTTGCCTAGACTAGTAGTATTTCTATATTAATCAGTCTTTCCTGGGTTAGAAACAGGTGCTTTTTCCAATTCTATATAAAAATACTGAAGTTGGGATCTTCTACACTGAAAGTATGTTTTATCACAGAGCCACCAATCTTAAGATTTCATTGCTGAACAATAAAATGCTAGTGTCACTAACTGAATATCTATGATGACTGGTGTAGAGGCTATAATACAGGAATTGGCATCCTGGAGAACCCAGGTGTTGCTAAACAAAGGCTACCAGCATTCATAGAAAGTATGGCCAGTGGGAAGGAATGCCGCTCTCCTCTAAAAATTATGTTCACCTGAATGCTTCAGAACATATTGTAATAAAATGAGGGAAGAAAAAGTGCTAGTGAGATGTTCTTCCTTCTATATTGTTCTTCATAATATAGCCACTCTCATATATTCAAATTGTGAGGTGAAGAATCTAAGGCAGTGATGGCTAACCTTTTTGTTGGTGTGTGCCAAAAGTGGGCACAAGCGGGCGTGACAGCGCATGCGTGTGCCTGCACCCATAATGTAATATGCACATAACCCCCACCCCATACTTCCCCTGTGCATGCACACTCAACCCCCATGCCCCGTTTTGGGCCTACCAGGCCTCCCTGCAGCCTCCTGGGACCAAAAACGGGCCGCAGGCAGGCGCGCCACATCCCCTCATGCTCTGCCCTGCCCCCACACATGCGCATGGGTCTCCCCCACGCATGCATGTGCATTTTCCACATGCCCTCGCCCCCTGCGCATGCACGGCAGAGATCCGAAAATCAGCTGGCCGGCGGGAGGCGCATGTGCATGTGGTGTAGAGCTGAGCTGGGTGACAGCTCGCATGCCAGCAGAGAGGGCTCTGCGTGCCACCTGTGGCAAGCGTGCCAAAGGTTTGCCATCACGGATCTAAGGGATACTTAGTCAAGTAACTTGGGATATAATCTGCCATTGAAATGAATGGAAGCAGATGAATATTCATTTGGTTTGCACAAATCGTATCTAAATTAAGTTTTATATCTCTTGATGAGTCAGTCATTGAGAACTAAGAATTTTATGGGACATTTATTGACTGTTTCACCAAATGAGTAAATCTTAAAGTTTCATGCATAAATTAACTCATTAGCAAGTGGAAAAATAGGCACAATTTCCCAAACAATCTATTGATTAACAGATTTACTCTCTATAAAGGATTTGCATTTTTTTAAAGAGAGGAATAATAGCAGGAAAATAAGGGATGTTATTTCTAGAATTCCAACCAGCTGCCTTTGCAAGTGTGTGCCTCTGCCATCTCCACTAAAACTTTGACTTAAGCAAAATAACAATAGAGAAATAGCACCACTATAAAGATGGTGAACGGACTACAAACTAATTGAGCCCTCCTGTAGCCTTTGTTCCCATGTTGAGCCTTGCAGAAAACTCCAATTAACTTACATCATAACAGTCACTGCAAATTTCCAGCTGCTTTGAAAACTACCAGAGTGCTTTCTGTAAAGTTCACTAAGATAGAAAATAATACAGCATAGTCTAAGCAAGGCCAAACAGTGGAGGGTCAATGGAATTTTATTTTCATTTATTACACAATTATTGTGCAAATGGCAGATCATAAGGCCCAGAAAAAGGGGCAAAAGATGGACATACCCAATTAGTATAGTCTGTATATTAAGATATTGATATTTTTCTCTTGCACAGCACTTGCAGAAAAATATAACAGTTAATAATATATAAATTCTACAAAAATATTAAATTATCAACATCAGCGAAAATTAACATCTGACAAAACAAACAGAAAGCTATAGTGGGGTCCATAACAAGCCATAATAACCCCAAAAGGATAATGTGCTTTATTAAATGACTGGGTAAATTGCTCCATTATATAGTGAAGTCTAATACCAGAATATAAATCACATCATTTGCCTTCTGATGTCAGGACACAAACCTCCTAGTTTGCTGTTCTTCATCTCCCCAAAAATGCTTGTGTTTCAGGACAAACTAAATTATCTCTACTGAATAAGATCATAATACGCTTTCAGTTTAGCAGGATACATAATATGCTTACATTTCAAAGCATCAACTTAGTCTTCTTCATCTTCCTCCTCTTCAGATTCACTTGTACTATCTGTATCAGATACACTTTCTTTATCTTCTTTGTTTTTCTTTTTCTGGGCTGACAAGTTTTCCATCCCACCTAAACAACTTTAGTGACATTCAATTATTTGATATTTATAGTTTTAACCATGTTTCCCTTTTCCTTCTTGTACTTCATGCCTTAATATTGTTGGCTTACAATCTCTTCTTTTCTATGTCTTGCATTGCATAACACTGTTTATCCCAAACAGAAATAGCATGATGGGGTATATAAGTATGTATGTACATTTATTAGTAGTTTTATTTATTACTAAGTAGTAATAAATGGCAACATAGCAGTATTCTGCAATGGAATCTTGCTTAATTGATGGGTTTCAAAATAGGGTAGGAAACCTAGGATTTTTCTAAAGTTCATCACCAATTCCAAAATAGAATTTATAGAATTATAGAAAATGACAAGTTCCTGAAAATCAGTTTTTTTATCACTTACACTAGCCTGAATAGACATTAATCACCTATTTGGGTCTTGGGCTTGGACTGTCATGAATACAGGAATATTGCAAAAGTAACCCTGTATCTTTCTAAGACCTAAAAATCAATTCATCTACAACACTTATTTTCCACACAAATGTTACCTGCATTTCAGCTACAAAAAAATTATCCACCTTTATCATCAGTCATGATAAGCGTATGTCTTAAGATATATAACTGTGTGTGTGTGTGTGTGTGTGTGATTTCTTTATCTTAAGATATTTAACCTTATGTGTAAAGATATTTACCCATGTAATAGGGCTGTATTGCTATTATCCTTTTCATCTTTACTATTACTACTATTACCTTTTCCTATTGATATCTTATAATACTTTGTTGTTTGTATGTACACTGAGAATTTATGTACCAGAGACAAATTCCTTGTGTGGCCAATCACACTTGGCCAATAATTCTATTCTATTCTATTCTATTCTATTCTATTCTATTCTATTCTATTCTATTCTATTCTATTCTATTCTATTCTATTCTATTCTATTCTATTCAGTGGTGGGTTCCTCCCGGTTTGGTCCAGTTCGGCCGAGCCGGTAGCAGTGATGATATGACGTCACCGAACCGATTCTCCCCCCCCGCCCTCCCACCCACCCCCACCCACGTTATTCTTACCTTTTATTTGGTCCCACCCCCAATCTATTGCTGCCTCCTGAGTCCCAGATGACCAGAGGGAAAAAAACTGTTTAAACTCTTGCCGCAGGGCTTCAAAGGGCCGTCCTACAGCTGATCAGTGTTAAAAGCAAACAAAATGAGTTGGGTCATAAGTGCGAGGACTGGTCGTAAGTGCGAGGACCTTCCAGAAATGATTCTGACCAGCTAGCCACGCCCACCTAGTCACATGACCTCCAAGCCACACCCACAAAATAAGCCACACCCACAGAAGCAGTAGTAAAAAAATTTAGAACCCACCCCTGATTCTATTCTATTCTATTCTATTCTATTCTATTCTATATTATACTCTATCCTACCCTACCCTATCCTACTCTATCCAAGGGCTACACTTAACTGTTCTCAGGAATCCAAACATCAAAATAAATGAGAGTGTAATGCATAATGGGTGAGGCTTGTTTTGTTCATATTCTGTGAAGATAAGGGGAGTCCTACAATACATTTTAAATTTGTTAAAACATACTGTAGGACTAGCAATGAATGCAGTCTTCATGGTTTTCTTGCCTCAAAAGGATGAGAAATTGGTCCACCAATTTTTATCAATATTGAACAAAATGAAATGCTCAATACTACATAGCCCTGGAGTCTTTGGTTGCTATTCCATTACCATAAAATACGATTTTAAAATGATGCATCAGTCTGCACATTAGTTTAAAGAAGGTCCATCAAGCTATATAATGTGCTTGGGTGGCCATCCTGGAGCCTTAGTTGCATGTGGCCTTCAAACCAATATTTTTCTGAGCTGTACAACCTTCTTTAAATGTGATAACCAACAATTGAGCCCTGGTGGCACAGCAGACTAAAGCACTGTTATTAACATCAACTGCCTGCAATTACTGCAAGTTCAAATCTCCCCAGGCTCAAGGTTGACTCAGCCTTCCATCCTTTCTAAGGTAGGTAAAATGAGGACCCGGATTGTGGGGGCAATAAAATGTCTTTGTATAAAATATACAAAAGTATGAAGGCTATTGCTTAATGCATTGTAAGCCGCCCTGAGTCTCCGGAGAAGGGCAGCATATAAATCAAATAAAAAATAAAAAATAAAAAAAATTGGTGACATGATTTCCCACTATTCTGAGACATGCAACACATGGAAACTCTAATATAAATTAGGACTGTGCAGATAGTCCTTGACTTACAACCATTTTTTCAAAGTTACAACAGCATTAAAAAAAGTGATATATAATCATTTTTTATACTTACAAAAGCTTGGGGGGGAGCATCCCCATGGTCACCTGATCAAAATTGGGATGCTTAGTAATTGGCATGTATTTATGATGGTTGCAATATCCCTGGGTCATGTGATTTTCATTCATTTCATTTTCATTTTATTAAATTTGTATACCGCCCTACTCCCGAAGGACTCAGGGCGGTGAACAGGCACAAAATAAAACACATAAATACAAAAGTTAAAACATGATTAAAACCTAATTAAATAATTTTTGCCCGAGACAATTAAAAACACCCAATAATTTAAAACGAATTAAAATTTCAGTTTAAAAATTTAAAAGAAGGGGAAAAAATTAGGCCAGGCCGGCCTGCTGGAATAGGAGTGTCTTCAAAGCACGGCGGAAAGTGCACAGATCCGGGATCCTCCGTATCTCCGGGGGGAGCTCGTTCCAGATAGTAGGTGCCCCCACAGAGAAGGCCCTCCCCCTAGGGGCCGCCAGTCGACATTGTTTGGCTGACGGCACCTGGAGGAGCCCCTCTCTATGAGAGCGTACCGGCTGGTGGGAGGCTGTTTGTGGTAGTAGGCAGTCCCGTAAGTAATCACCTGTGATCATCTTTTGTGACCTTCTGACAAGCAAAATCAATGGGGAAGCCAGATTCACTTAACCACCATGTTATTAACTTAATAACTGTGGTGATTCACTTAACAATTAAGGCAAGAATGGTTGTAAAATGGGACTAAATTCACTTAACAATTATCTTGCTTAACAGTGGAAGTTTTGAGCTCAATTGTGGTCGTAAGTCAAGGATGACCTTATATATATATAGTAATATATATTTGGACACTCAAATAATATCTCTCAGCAACTCCTTCAAATAACTGTATCTCTTCCTAGCATTGTGTAGCAACTGCAACACAATCCCAGGAAAGGACACATTGGTTAAAGTTGCACAAGTGCTACCTGTGTGTTCTTGTCCAATACCTTTTTGCATTCAAATTGGGGGTATTGTTCTATGCTTGTATAAACTCTAAAATAGTTTAACATAGTTTTATAAAGTAACTTCTCCATCACTCGTTTGATTACAAAACAAAAACAAAAAACCCTTAGCCCAACCAATGTACATGACATAGGCCTGTGCACTTTACATCATTATCTTGCTCATTGTGGCTTTCAACTCTCTTATGTGCAGCCTTAGTCCCTAGCTTGGTGCATTAGAGGAATCAAGCATTTATGCTTAAATAAAGATTTTCACAAGTAAAATAATGCAATAGCAATTTAATATAAATTTATAGATATTAGACTGACTTCTTGTAATATTTTAAAACATTCCTCTATAAAAATTACATCCATCAGAATCCCTCAATGAACATATGCACACATAAACATGAGCAAAAAAAATCCTTTCCTTCTCGGCACTACAGTTGTGGGTTTCAAATTTTTTTACTAACGGTCTGTGGGTGTGGCTTAGTGGGTGTGTCATGGCTTGGTGGGTGTGGCTTGGTGGGTGTGGCAGGGGAAGGATACTGCAAAATCCCCATTTCCTCCCGATCAGCTGGCACTCGGGAGGCAGAGAATAGATGGGGCGGGGCCAGTCAGAGGTGGTATTTACCAGTTCTCTGAACTACTCAAAATTTCCGCTACTGGTTCTCCAGAACTGGTCAGAACCTGCTGAAACCCATCTCTGCCACACTATATCCTTAAGAATATTTTCTTGAATTTTCTTTTCCTGGAATAATGCCAGTAATCCATGGAAGGTCAATTTCTGAGCAATCAAGTCTACCGTACTTAAATCATCAGCTTACCTTTGCAGCATAAATAAAGTGAACACTGCCAGTATTATAACTATTAAGGCAATAAATGCTTTCATATAACCTAAAAAAGTGAAAGAAAAATAAAAAATTCTTCAATCCTCAAACAAGATAAAAATATATGTTTAAAAAATTATAATAAGCAGCAGATTTAATAGAAACACTTTTAATGACTGTAGCATTATCTGCATCAAAATAATAAAGCTAAAATAATGATCTGTGAATGGTGATGTCATCACACAAATACCATGATTAAGTTCTTGCATCTCAGTGTCTAACTCAAGTACACGACTCATGGAATTTGCACAGTATCATCTATCATTCCACAACTAAGGATGAATGTGACTACCTGGGGGATGATTTTAAAAAGCCAGAATATTCCACTCAATTGTAATATACTTTCCTTCATTTACTGATTTGAAAAGAGTGGAAGATGACTCTCCAAAAAAGAAAAAGAAACCAACATATTAGTCTATGTACAAAAAGTTGTGTTTTAAGACACCCACTGTTTGAAAGAGGGTGTAGTGTACCAATTTAAAACCATCAAGCATAAGGGAAAATAATATTCCTAATTCTGCCAACAGGTATTCAAATCTTCTGAATGGCTGGCTAATTCCTTTTTTTACCCAGGGTTTTCCTCACATGATTGAGAATGACTTACAAGTACACACACTAAATCAGTAGTTCTCAACATTTTGTATTTTACCATTCTGGATCATAGAACCTGGGTTCTACCAGTATTGGAACAAAAGGCTCACTTTTTAAGAGAAAGTCCTCCTAAAAATGAAGGCTAATTAGAATAAGGTTATTTTATTTCATTCATAAACCCAAACTTTCCAGAGGCTCCTCCAAGGAACAATATTCAACAGGAGATAGGATGGTCCCCTCCCCACTTTCTCATTGGCTCTTGGAAATAAGGAATCACAACTCATCTCAAATATTTCTGCAAATCACCATAAGACTACTCTGGTCTCCTGTATAGTGACAGAGGACTTCGTCAGGGCACAGTTAAGATAGAAGCTGTGTAGATTTAATCCAGTTTGGCAAAGCCCATGTTCATTTGCTTTTAAAGTATTTTACAAATTTCTGTCATTAAATTGCAATACAGTCAAGGTATTGAGTGTGAGTGCTTCTTAGATGGTTTATAAAGCCACTTGACTTGTCCACTCCTAGGCTGCACCTGAACTGCTGATTATGGACCTTTATATTAAGTTCGCAGTCTTTTAATCTGCCAGACCCAAGAATAATAATATATTTATTCTACTGCATTTCTAAACCATTTTGAAGAGATTCTGGGGAGTTTTGAGAAAATGGAGATGCTACCTTAATAACATAGTAATTAATTCCTTAAATCAATAAATAGTTCCACATTATTTGTTTCAAATATTATCCAGAGAACTCTTATTATTGGGTAGCAAATAAATACAAGTTCTTTAGAATGTTATATTCTGTATCCCTTCTGTTTTGGCTAATAAATAATTCAGAACTTGTTGGTTTAAATGGCTGTTTGCTTAAACGAAATTGAAGAATCTCTATCATGAATCAGACACTGCCTTCTGTTCATCCAATGCTTACAAAGCAAGAAAGAAGAGAAATGGAATAGGAAGTTCACCAAAACTGCCTTCATAAAGTATAAAGAAAATCTGATTGTAAAAATTATGATGGAGAATTGTTGGCCCACCCATTATGTCCTTCACCACTATTAACTCCCAGCCCAAGTAAAAATGAGCTTTACGAGACTGAGCTTTTTTTCTAACTCTGGGCCTGGCAAACAGAACTCTGAAGGAGAATATTTTCTACTTCTAATTAAAACTCGCCTTCCTGCCCAATGTGAAAAAATCTAAGGCAAACTCGATTTCATTGAGGGTGGGTGTAGCCAGCTCAAAATAACCCGTGTCAGGGGCGCCTGTAGTGGCATGAGCACTCTGCCAGTGAAAATGGGTTCCCAAGCTCCATTTTCAGCTACGACAGCATCCTGCAACCTCTGCTAGAGGGTTTCTTTCTCTCGCGAGCTCCGTTTTCGCTGGCAAGAGGCACTGCAGGCCGGTCCTTTGCTGTTTCCAGGACAGTCCCATGAGCCAGATCTAAGCATCGCACTGATCTGTCCCCCGGGCCTTGAGTTTGACACCCCTGATCTAAGGCATTGGCACACTTGCAGGGTATTTATGAAGTTTTGCTCTCATTTGCAAAAGTCTATTATGGTTGTTTGCCTGCTCACTACTAGTCTTCCAGAAAAGGAAAATGTTTTAACATCCACTTGCTTTGAGGCAACACTCAAAGAGAGAAGAGCAAGGTACATTTTGAAAGCAAGAGGAAAGGGGGAGGAGAGATGACATTTCCAGTTTTTTTTTAATAATAGGGAAAATTGATAAATCCATTGTTTACCTTTTCTAGCTTTGTTTTGCATATTTTTATGTCTTTTTCATTTTATAACAGGAGAAATAATTCAGATAAAAGTGACCTGTTCTGAGAGAGAATTATGAATACCAATTCAGAATAATTTTCTCCAAGTTTTAAGTTCTACATAACTCTGGCTTCTGTTGTATATCTCATTAAAAATGGCCTTTATACACTACACATATGTTAACATATGCCCAGTATCAATGGTGTTTAGGGCCTATGTTTGTAGTCATCCCAAATTTGTAGCTGTTGTACAGTGTTAAAATATATCAGTTGTTTTAAAGGATACTTAAAATAGTTCCTATTTATTTTTATTTATACCCTGTCTTAAATTACTTTTAAAATAACTCAAGGTGGTGAACATATCCAACACACCTTCCTCCTCCTGTTTTCCCCACAGCAACAACCTTGTGAGATGAATTGGAATAAGAGAAATAAGACTGGCCAAGGTTACCTAGGCTTGGCTTCGTAGCTAAGGTGGGAGTAGAACTCCTGGATTTCCAGTTTCTAGCCTGGTGCCTTAACCAGTACACCAAACTGGCCTTAATATATGTTTATGTTGTACAATATAAGTGTCTTTCTTTTCTGATGAAAGTCCACCTTTCATCAGAATCAGATCTGTTTTCTACTTGAAACAACAAACAATATCATTAGATTCATTTGAAAAATTAGCAACCATACTAAGAGGTTGCAAGAGTGTCATAGGGAGACAAGTGATGCCATGTACATGATGCAACATGCAAATAACAAAGATTTGTTGTCTTTTGCATAGTGTCATGACACACGTGACATCACTGTAGTTTCTATCAAATGGATATTGTTGAACTACTGTGATAATTACTTACTTGGTACAGCTTTCTTATAGCATGTCTCTTTGTGGTAACAGCATCCTAGCTCTGTGCACTCAATCCTTGATACATTTGTCTGGCACACTTCATAAAAAGGAAGTTCACATACTTCAAAAAAAGAGAAATACACAAAGTTGTATATGTATATATAAATTGAAATCATGAGATCTATCAAGCCAATTCTAAACTATGATGTGTCATTTTATTATAAATTATATTCAATAACCATAAAACCTCTGAACTCTCAGTAAACATGAATACATTAGGATTCTCACAGAACTATTGAAGGAAAAGCAATAGCTATTAAGTGAAAGGCCATTAACATAGGCATTTCATGAGACAACTGGGGTCTTAAAGTTGCCAAGGTTGAAGACCCCTGTACTAGAGCACTCTGTTCTGAGGTCCATTTTTCCTTTCAAAGCTAAAGCATGACAAAGCCCTGCTATCTGGAGGCAGTTGCAAAAGTGTCTGCGGCAATGGTCACCTACCTTCAAAACAGTACATCCAATCAAACAAAGTCCTGTCCTACCTTTTCTGAAGGATATTTAAGTATTTTTTTTTACCTTGCAATTATTTGTTATATATTTGCTAAATTTTATTATATTCTGTTCTTATTGTATTATATATGGTGTAACCTGCCCAGAATGCAATTGGATTGAGGTGATGAATAAATTTCAGACAGAAAAAGAGACGGAGAGGATCTGCATCTTCAACACTTTTGATTTCAGTGACTGCTAAGAGTTCCAAAGAATTAGCCAATGGTGGTAAAGAGAATACAATAAACTTTCACTTGAAATCAGAGAGGAATAGACATAGAATTTAATTTTCACGTTGTATCTACTTTAAAATATTTTATGTACCCATAATAAAATTTAAGGCCAGAATTCTCAAGATGAACATACATTTAGAACCTCCTTATTAAATTTGTGCGCTCTTCCTATTTTCAGAACTTCATCTTATTTATGGTAATTCAGATTTTTAGGTAATTACCACCAGAGAGCGCTCCTCAGCAGTTTATAATATCTGAAGAATTTAGTCAACAGATCCTAACTACTCAAAGGGTGTTGATGCTAAAAAAATGATGCGAAAAGTATTCTGGAATCATTATTCATAGAGCTACCAAGATCATAGCAACTTTATAGAATATATACACAATATGTTAGAAGTAAATAAAATGTTACTGGGAAATAACTTGCATTTACAACTACAAATTGCCAAAAGCAGATGCAAACCTTTCACTGATATAGATAGTCCTCGATTTACAACCATTTATTTAGTGACCATGCAAAGTTACAGTGGCACTGAAAAAAGTGTCTCATGGCCATTTTTCACATTTACAATCATTGCAGCAACCCCATGGTCATTTGATCAAAATTCAGAAGCTTGGCAATTGGCATATATTTATGATGGTCTCCGTATCTGGGGGGCATACGATTACCTTTTGTGATCTTCTGACAAGCAAAATCAATAGGGAAACCAGATTCACTTAACAACTGTAATGGCTTTCCTTGAAGCCAGCTCCAACGATGAGGAAGAGCAGACTCTGGAGACTTTAGAGGAGGGCGTGGGGGAGTAAGGAAGACACCAAGGTCTCCGAGCAGGGAGTGAATGGGTCATGGGAAGGGGAGGGGAAGGGCAGAGGCCAGGAACCTAGGAGAGACCTAGGAGAGACCATCGGGAAACAACCAGATGAGCACCAGGAACCTAGAAGAGACCTAGGAGAGACCATCAGGAAACAACCAGATGAGCACCAGGCTGAAGAAGAAAGGGGAGATGCAGCTGCAGCCAGAGAGCTCATGGACCCAATTAGAACTGCAAGGTAACGAGGGAACACAGCTGCAGTGGGGCGGAGGAAGAACTGCCTCCGCAGCCAGAGCTGAATGGAGAGGAAGATGAAAAGACAAAGGTTTCAAACTGGAGTGTGCCCCACTTTGCAATGGAGGTTGGCGGGGTTACTTGCAAGGAGGCAGCCTCATTCCTCATAATGGGCTTACATCTGTTGGCACATGAAGCAAAGTGACACTCGAGACAACTCATCTGTTTCCTGTTGTTTGTGTGTTCTGCCTTTGTGACTCCTGCTTCCAGACCTGTGCCATGACCCTGTGACTGGACTTTGAATCTTGGATTTTGGACATGGACTTTGGTTTCATGTATTGTGCTCAGACTGTGGACTTACGGACTTATTCTTTGCCCTCAGACTTGAGGTTGCTCAGGACTTGGATTCATTGGGTTTTGTGTGTTTAGTGGGATGAGCCTTGGGGAATGATATTAAAGGCTTGCAAAGCCTCAATGAAGACTTCACACTCGCATGTGTGTGCATGTTTGTGTTACGGTTGTTAAATCATAGCAATCAATAGTTGTTAAGTTCACTTAACAATTGTCTTGCTTAGCAATGGAAATTTTGGGCTCAGTTGTGGTCATAAGTTGAGGACTACCTGCAAAAAAATGAAAATACAGCGGTGGAAGACGCTCCAGTCTGATAGCTTTGTCTTTTCATCTTCTTCTAGCTTTAGCTGAATATTTTTCCCTCCACCTCTGGATGGGGGGAAAAGAAGAATCCTCAAGAAGTGAGCTAGAGTGATGAAAACAAATGCTTCTTTTCAGTGAGATATACTAAATCAGACCAATTTGCTGTACCTAGTAGCACTCCAAGACTTAATTATTAAGAAATTCTTAATTCTTTGGTTTTGTTTAATGTAAGACTAAACAACGAAGTCCAAATAAATACCCAACTCTTGAAAGCAATATAAAACAAACAAATCATACACATAAAATGCTGTTTCATCAAAACAGATTCAGGCTCCTAGGAAGATTCAACAATCTCTACATGAACAAGAAACTATCACTTATATTTTAAATTACAAATTACAGATAAACATAACCTAATCAATGAAGGCAGAAAGATTCTTACCAAAGGTAACCTTGCCAAATATCTATAGGTAAGAAAGGCAAACTAATCCTTATCAAGTGCTGTTCATAAAATACTTGCAGGTGAATCTAACAGAGTAAATTGGTGCATGATTACCCATATTCTTTGACACATTATGCAAAATAAGACAGAAATAGGAAGAAAGTGTTAATATTGCTGTAGCCATTATGCTAGTGTCAGTTCCAATCTTGATAGTCCCTCCATACTGGCATTTATGTAAAACATACACAAGCCCAGAATCTCAAAGAAAAATTAACATATAGACCAATTACCTTTTCATTTATTCCTCTTGACTATCTAAAAGTATTAACAAAATAAATCTTAATAATATATCTCTATGTACCTTCAAATTTCTCACTGAATCATACAATTACTTTTAAAAAGTTTTATTATAGTTTGGAACCTTAAAAAAAAGATAAATCAAGCACTCTCCATATACATGAAGAATAATCACATTTAGAGTTTTTGAACTCCTACAAAAATGGACTAATTATTTAAGGGGACTGGAGTTAATGACAGGGTACCAAGCATAGGAACGTAACATATGAACAACGTAATATTTGACACATAATGTAAGTGATATATCTTTGTTGAATCCAGATGAGTTTATTTCTTATTCTGTCTATAAATGAAGTAAAGCAAATGGGTTTGGCCATACAGCTTTGATTTATTGCAAGGCAGCATGGCATTTTACGAGTGTTCTTGCATAATATTTTTGCTATTTTATACACACAAATACTATTTTCATATTTCTTCATAGTGCTATATGAAATGTTTGAAAGAGTGTGTTAACATAAAAAAGCACTAATATGCTTCCCTTTGCAAGACTGGCAAGGCTGCTTTTATTTTTGCTTTATTTATCAAATTTGTAAGGTCACCTGACTCTATAGCCATGATGGCGAACCTATGGCACGCATGCCACAGGTGGCACGCAGAGCCATATCTGTGGGCACCCGAGCGTTGCCCTAGCTCAGCTCCAGCGCACATGTGCACACCAGCCAGCTGATTTTCGGGCCTTCTGGGCCCACTGGAAGTCGAGAAATGGACCGTTTCCAGCCTCTGGGGGGATGAGGAAGGCCGTTTTTGGCCTCCCCAGGCTCCAAGAAAGCCTCTGGAACATGGGGAGGGCAAAAAACGGGCATACTGGGCCCACCGGTAACCTTTTTGCCGTCACGTGCCAAAAGTGGGGGGAGCGCAGGGGGGTTGCACGCGCATGTGCACAGGGTGTGGGCCACAGGGAGGGCATTAAATTATGGGTGTGGGCACGTGCACGCGCAACCCCCCCTCATTATCCCTGCTTTTGGCACGCAACAGCAAAAAGGTTAGCCATCACCGCTCTACAGCAATTCTGGGGAGCAAACAACATTAAAAGCAAATTGATAATAACATGAAAATACACACAAGTCTTGCAAAGACTGCAACTGTTTGAACCCTTCAAGGATAGTGCTATGTTCGTCTCAATATGTTTTGCAAAGCATCTCTTTGTAACGCTTTGCACCATCCTGCTATTTAATACATAAGCTTTGATATTATTGTTATTGTACATGAACAATATATACTATAAAACGTGAGTATTCAGCTACCATAGTACCAATAGTCATCAGCTCCAAACTTACCTGCAAATCCATAGCGAAGAAAATTACTTCTTTTTTCCAGATGAAGAACCCTTGATGGTGACTGTGTTCCACTGTTGAACTTAAAGGACAATTTAATGCATGCACCTGAAGGAAGCCACAGTAAGCAAGGTACTAGAAAAATAAACATTTGATTCTGGTCCTGGTTTTCTATGCATTTCATTAATGAGGTTATTGAGATCAATCTATAAAAAATACTTAATATAGCTGTGAATAAAAAGAGAGGTAGGTGGAATAGCCATTAGCTTGCTTTCAGAAACACTTAGCAAAATCAGTATTTCCATTTACAAGTAGTAAGTCAATTTAAGGAGTATAGCCACACAATTGGCTCATCGATTCAGTCTACTTAGTCCTTCACCTACTATGGTGAGGACTAGAAAATGTAACTGTGACATCACAGTTCTGTTTTGTGGTGTCATTAAACTGGTCACCAAGGAAACTGATTATTGTGATGACAGATACAAGGGGGAAAATGGAAAACAGAAAGGAAAGAGGGTCTGGTTTACTCTAAGGAAGATGTAGAATGAAATGTGCTGCAATTAGAAGGCTCCTCTGAGTATATCAGCTGACAGATAACTAAGGAAATGAGTAGGACTGCCAACAGGTAGGATGAAAGTCAAATGACCTCATATGTTGTAGTACATTAAACTCAATATAGTAAACTAACAATTCCCAATGCTTTCCTGATGGCATATTTCTTATGAAAACCAAGAGTTCCATTAGCTCTTTTTAAACATTTCATTTTCTAAAATGAAAACATGTAATCAGCAAGCTAATTGATGACCAAATGCTAATCGCCAGCACATTTTTCATATTTAAAATGTTTCTGGATGGTACAGAGGCCCTAAAGTAGACAGTTGACTTTTTTTAGCCAACTATTTAGAAAAAGTGTAAGTTGTGGAGTATATCCAAGACATAAGGAGTGTTAGAAAGATTTTGGCTGTCATGCTGAATATGCCTTTAGGCATCATTATCACTTTGTCTTGTGCAAAAAATATTCTTTTGTGAGTCTTTTGGCTGGACAACATGTAATTTGGAGTATAAATCCCCCATGAACTTTGGGAGAATGGGTGTTAAACAGAAAATTAAGGACCATGATAGTTCATATGATTAGGACATTGGGCCAACAATCAGCAGGCTGGCATTCAAGACCTGGTTGCTGTCACGGGACAGAGGTGAACTCCCGTTAGTCGCTCCAGCTCCTGCTGACCCAGCAGTTTGAAAATGGGCAGCCGTGAGTAGATAGATGGGTACCACTTTGGTGGGCAGCTTAACAGGCACATGAAAGGAGCCCCAACTGGGTGTTCCCTGGGCAACATGATGTCACCGGCTAATCCTTTCAATCTGGAAGTGCTTTAGCATTCCCAACACAACTGCAGTAGCAGAAAATTGATTTCCAATTTATATTTTTGTCACTTGGAATTCAGACATATCTTGCACAAGTCTTTTTTTATTTTAACTTTCTTTCTCCTCAAATGGCTCTTTCAAAATGTGATTACCAACTCCATATCATTGAATTGCCAAAGGTAAATATGTATCTAGAATATATAACTATGATTTAATATAAGGTTCTGCTAGTCCCTAAGGCTACCTATGCTTCTTCCATGGATCACAAAATATCTCTCTAAAATAAGATTAAACACTACTCAATTGAAGAGCCTGGTCAAAACTGTACTTGTTTTGTCCAGCTTCCCAATCTGGGCTTGGTAGTAAATCAGAGTTTTGATGTTTGACAACTTAGCTCAGCTCCCAGATTGGCAACACTTCGGTAGAAATAATAATAACTGCAGACAAGAATGAAGTCACACACCATACTCCCATTGCTAGTGCAAAGGCATAAAGATTTTTATCCTTTCAGCAATTTAAACATGAGATTTCTTCCTTCTACTTTCCCAAGTTAACAGGTACTTAGCACCATGCGTGGAGATATTGAAATCAAATGACATTCTACATTTAAATAGCAGCAACCACCTCTGGCTTGGAAATCACTGATTCCAATCTTGCCCACCTCAGCCTTCACATGTTTTGACAGAAACTACAATAGTTGTCCTTCAGACTACTTCATTGCTCAGGTATTAATCCAGGACATAACTCAAATTACTGCTGATATTGTCAAATTAGAATTTGAGTTAAATTGAGCTTAAAATATTTTGCACATCAGTGGGACCAAGAACAAGAACCTTAAAGGGAGTCGAACACTAACCATGTGCAATCTGTTAAAACTTAAACTGCTTTATATGTATCTAAGAACTTTATGATTTTTTTTCCTCCAGGGAAATAATTAAGATTGTTGGAGCATAAGATTTCTATTTTCTTTCTTGTTCAGCTTTGACATCACAGCAGTGATAAGAGAGGTTTTGTTCAAAGAGCAAAAATAGAAAAATCCAGGAGTTAGATCAAGAGATAAGGTTGTTTTCAACTTTCGGAGTGTCTTAAATATAAACGTGGTATAGCATTTGTCTTAATTTCTGAAAGCAAAGATAGCAGTTGAGCTTTCAATACATTGAAAGTTTATCTATTAAGCATGAGGATAGTTCTGGTCAGTATAAGAAATATAAACATTTATATGTTTATAAATGTTTATATTTACAAACATTTATATGTTTAGAGCATTTTATATAATTAGAAATTTAACTGTTCAGACTTTAAAAGGAATGGATACAAATACCAATCTGGTTTCAAATGAGTAAAATTTAATGATCCCTTATAAAATTTACACACTGTATTCAGCATAATTAACACTGACTTTAATAGTAAAGTATCTCATCAATGTTATAAAAAGCTTTTTCAAGAGAACCTGTTTTATTTATAATAAATCTTGAAAAACTTCAGGAAGAAATCTGGGTACTAAACTTAATGGATATTATTTGAATTCTTTGTGGCACAAAATTCCTTACATATCTGTTTCAAGAAGCTATTAAGAATTGACTATAAAATTTTAATATAGAGATGTTAATATAATCCGTCAAAACAATACAACATGAATTTCCTCTCTTTTAGAGTGGGACATGTAGACTGGCTAATCTTAACAATATGCACTTGTTAATCAGTAATTGGGTTAAAAGATTTTTGAAGGAACTTGGCAAAACAAATAAATTTCATAATTAATCCTGAAATTCACTTATCCTGTATATTTTCTAATATAGAAAAATTGATCTACAATGTGATTCTTGGTTATTCCTTAGCTATGATGCTTTTTTTTTTTTTTTTACTTAAAAGTGTAAGTGTAATTTTTGACTTTGGCCAAAAATTAGTAAAGAACTTTAAAAAACACTACAGGTAGCCCTCAAAATATAACCATAATGGAGCCTATGCATTAGGGTCACATTTTGACAGCCATTAAGTGAGATGGCCTTGCATAGTGATATCCCCCTTCTGTTATTCTTGATACGTCTATTAAATAAACATGTGGGTTATTAAGCAGAGCACCAGATACCTCAGGGGTAAGGGAAGCCCTGAGAGGCCTAGTGCAGGCCCAGGCCCGCACCTACCCGTCTTCTCCCCCCCCACCCTCCCACCCCAGGCATCTGGTGTTCCACTTCCTGCCTCTTGGGGTCTCTGCAGACCTCCATCTGATCTCAACCCAGCCACTCAGCCACCCAAGGCAGCCTAAAGCCAGGCAGCAGAATTTACTGGTGCCCAGGGGGCTGTTAAAGCTTGTAGACTGAGGCCTACTCCCCGTCTAGCCGCGCAAGGCAGCCTAAAGCCAGACACTATTCTTATGAGCCTGTTTTAATGATAAGGTGACCAATCATCCTCCTTTAGGGAGGACAGGTTTTTTTTTGTAAGTTCTGTCCACTCTCGAAAAGTGTTCTCCTACATGTCCTCCTTTTCCATATTTGAAGACTAATCTGTAAATCTCTGTATTCTATTGATGCTGATCCGATCCGTTGCGTGTGATGTATTTTTATTTGACATGAAAATTCAAGGCTCGGTACAGTGCAGCAAGACGCGATTATGATGCATGCACTCCGCACAGAATTGTTTTGAGAAAGTGCGCCATATGCAAGAGTGCACCATACGCAAGTGGCTTTGTTTACTTACCGAAACACGACATGGCATACACACACTTGTCCTCCTTCTCATTGTAAAAAAGTTGGTCACCTTATTAATGAGGTTCCACAAACAAATGGAGGCTCCTTAAAAAACGGAGCTCAGACTCGTGAGAATACTACCTGCTTGCAGAATGGCATGAGGTTGCCATAAGCCTGTGTAAGAAAAGTGAGCCTTGCATTGAATCGGCTGGGTGCTTCTGCAAAAACCAGAAAGATAAGTTCGGTGCTGTTGGGCCCTGGAGCTGGCTGAGGAGCAGGCCGAGTCCTGCAAGTCGCTTGGTGGTGTAATGGAAAGTAGGCCTTGGCCTACAGGCTGCAACTGTTCCCCCAGGCACCAGTAGCTTCTGCTGTCCAATTTTAAGGTACTTTAGGCTACCTTAGGTGCTGGATGACCTGGGTGGCCAGGTTGGGAGCAGGCCAAAAGCTGATGGGGTGGGGGGGGGGATGAAGGTTGCTGCAGTATCCCTTTGGTTGGTCGTAAAGGAGAACATCCATGCAAGTACTGCAGCAGTTATACTTTCAAAACAGTCGTCAGTAGTTTTGGGATGGGTCTGTCATAACTTCGAACAGCCGTTAAGTGACCAGTTACATCTCGAGAATTACCACTACAGTGAAGGACAATTCCCCCCCCCACAACAGATTGGTTTGTCCTCTATAGATATCATTTTGGACACTAATATTTAATACAGATAAAGAGCAACTTTTACCTCAAGATTTTATTTACACAAGTCACTTATAATTTTTGCTCCACACTCTTATTTTTGTCTTGCATCTTCAAAGTCGTCATCATTGTCATCATCAAATCCATTGAAGCTTAGGCAAAATTTCTCAGCATCTAAAGCTAATCCTTTTATTTCTGTTACCTTATGTCATCCAGACATAATTAATAGGGGTATAAACAGAATATTAATACAGGACCATAAAAAGTCATGAATTTAGAAATGGGATTAAACTCTTATAAATCTGCTTAGTATAGATGCCGAATCTAGGTGCCTTGAAGCAATTTGGGACTGATTTTAATTATGAAGGTATTGGAAAAAGTGACTTATGACACATTCTCGAAGGTACGACCTTTGCATTACCCCTATGGTCACATGATAACAATTTGGATGCTTAACAACCAGCTTGCATTTTCAATGGTTAGAGTGTCTTGCAGTCAGATAATTTACACATTGCAATCTTCCTAGCTGGCTTCCAACAAGCAAAGTCAATCAGGGAAGCTGGATTCACTTAATGGCCACATGATTCACTTAACAGCCATATGATTTGCTTAACAAGCACATGGTTTGTTTAACAACTTTGGTAAAAATGGTTGCAAAATCATTCACAAAGAGACTTGCTTAAAGAACACAATGTTTAGTGACCAAAATTCCAATTCTAATTGCAATCATAAGTCAAGGACTACCTGTAATTGTTATTCAAGCTGATTTCTTATGCTACATAGCAACAGCATCAAAAAGGAAAAAAATTGATACAATTTGTATAAAACAAATTGAAGAGGGGAATTTGATGATTAACCAATTTTCCTTTAATTTGGCAATTTTTTTAT